ACAAATACGGAAGAGTTAAAAATCAATGATATGATTTTACTTAAAGATCATACTCAAAGAAATAAATTAAGTCCACTTTGGAAGGGACCATACGAAGTACTAGACGTACTAGATTCGGAAAATGTAGTCATATCACGAAATCGCAAGAAAGTGACAGTACACAAAAACGATGTGAAACTATATTACGAAGATAATAATGTGGATAACGAAGAAATCACAAACACATGACGAAGTTTTAATTATACATAATTAAGTAATAATAGCAATTCCAACCATTATAGACAATACCACGTACATAGAACCACGTTGTGAAATATAATTTTAACGAATTTTTATTTTTATTATAGCAAAATAACAAATAGCTTAACTAACACGCTAAGGTAAATTTAAGAAAAAAAAAAACAAGATAACGCTAGATACTAATAATGAACTAATGAAAAATAGTAATCTAAAATAAATTAATTTCAGAATAGAACGGGAAAAAATATACGATTAGAAATCGAGTGGTACATAATAGGGACATATTTAATCTATTATTATTGGGGATAGATAAATGTTGCACTATTATATACCGAACGGTTTGACAACTTAAGGAAAATATTGGGATTTGATCGTTTGGTGGTTGGTTCGAAAATCGTGTGTATAACAGATTTTTTAGCGGGATCACCAAAAGACCAAATGGCCTTAATAAATCTCAATAAGAAATTACGAGGATAAGATCTTGTTAGTTTAGCCAGTGTCGCGGGAAGATGCTTTGATTCACAGCACACTCTTGCGTCACGGGTTCAATTAGCAAGGTAGAACCATTACGGAAATTGAATAGAATAGAATCGATTTAATACTAGTCTTGATCATGTAATAGAACTTGAATACAATAGTTTATTGCTGATCTGGGCCTGTAGTAAAAAGATATAATCTAAATACAGTATAGGAATAGTAATATTAACTAGATATAAAATATAATAATATAACGGTTATTGGAAAATATATATATAGTAGCAAACGTAGACGTAGAAAAAATATATAAAAAAAAAAAAAAAAGGAATTTTAGGATTAAAATTTTTATAAAATAATATACAAATACTTAAAGGAACATATTAGCATATATTGGACATAATTAACATGGTGATGGAATAAGAAATATATTAATCTAATTTATTTAAAATATAATTAACATGGTAATGGAAAAATCAAATATAGTACACACCACTATTTTATCATATATATATATTGCAGGGAAAAAAAAATATAATGTAATAGATTTTAAGAATTCATATTATACTAAAGGAAATATTTACACATATTATATTAACACTAAAATAAGATTATTATTGTAACACAAAAACACAGAAAAAAAAGAATATATTGTTAATCACATAAGATACTAACCTAGATAATAAGCAAAATATATACTGTAATATTGTGGATTATAATCTGTATTTTGTCAATAATAATTAATATGGTGGAATGTACCATATAGTTATAATGATGTATTTAATGTAAAACATAACATGTAATAATTGAATGTAATGTAATAACTGAATGTAATGTAATAATTGATATATTTAAAATTTGTAAACATAGGAAAGTGCTTGAACTAATGGAGGGAGTTTGAGTTAATTTTTTTCATTTTAGACGATAAAAATCAACTTTTAAAGGGGGAGATGTAGTAAGCGAGTTACTACTTAACAAATAAAACAAATTCCACAGGTGTACAATTAGTATACTATACTGTAATTCGGCATATATCGGATATTAGAATCGGAAATAGGATTTCCTACTGGTTAACATAAGGAAACAGGCTCACTGAATAATATAATTACTCAGGGAGCCCTGTATACGACAATGTACAAATATAAAATATAAAATAGTAAAGTGATTATTTTTATTACAACACGGTACGCGACGATATTCAATATAAAAATATAATAGAGTAAAATGATTATTTAAATGAAATAGACCATAGATCAACATTTAGTAATACGCAGAATAATACTGGGAAGTCATAAAATGCGTGGGCTGGAACGATGACCACACCAGATCACATCCGTGTGCCGAGATACAGTATCTATAGGCAAAGGGTAAGGGGAACTTCATATAAAAGGGAGCCCGAAACGACCTGTATTCAGACGTGTACTACCAACCACTAGTGCAAGCACCTTCACGCCACTCTGTCTAACATTATTTGGACTTAGAAAATTATCAACGTTAAAATAAAATTCACAATAATTAACATCTGTCTTTTATTTATTCATCATCCACGACTACAACATCTAATAAAGTGTCTGCGACCTGCAATCATAATAACTTGGTTTCCACTTATCTACTATTAGTACTACGATAGTAGGTACCAAGCATCCAAGTTTATTACAATATGTTTAGAACACTTTATATCTCCATTGTGTGCGTCCGTCCGTTTGTTACCGTAGTACATAGTTACGATTGTGGATATTAAAGTGCCTCAGTGGCGTGTACAGATATTTTAAATGGTGGGGAGGGGGAGTTAAAAAAATATATATGTTTATACATAATACATCAATACATAGCTGATAATAGCAATAATCTGATAAAAAGCCCAGGGGAAAAAATAATTATATATATAATATAGTTATATATTTTTTTTTGGTTAAAAGTAATAAATATAAGTTGGAAAAATATAATCACAAGTAAAATGTATTATGACAACTTACCTGTTCATCTTTCTAATGAAACCAAGTATAACATAATATCATAATTATAATTCTCTGTTTAATTGACTCCAAAATTGATATTATGAATTATTATAATTTAGTAGCTCACTGTTCAGTTCAAAAATTGAACTAATTTAAATCAAATTTATCTTCTCTTTTGAAAACTATTGGGAATTTTAAACTGGTAAATGCGTGAACTTGATTCACTTTCCCTTCGAACAAGATATTGTTGAAGATAATCGAAGCAGTTTTACGTACATTTCCCTAGCCCTCCCAAATACAATTTTTCAAATTTTTTTTTACCAAACATTAGTGTGCCACTGTGTGAATTTGTGTGACAACTTTCAGGATTTTTGCGATACTGATTTAACCCTAAATTCAAAAATGTGTAGGGAGGACTGAAGAAATGTTCACCAGCCCCCCGTCATAGAAAAAATGGCATATTTAAAATTTTTCTTTTTCCAAACATTAGTGTTATATTAGTGTGAATTTGTGTGACTACAACAAGAATTTGTGTGACACCCGTTGTACTCAGAAAAATTGTTTATCCATTTTCCGTTCACGTTAGTATTACCCAGGGTGATTTTGTATGCATGCTCACACTATTATTATGCTTAAATTATACATATTATGTCTACATTTTGATTTTTGGAATTTTTAAATAGATACCTACACTTGAAGATTTTCGAGTATTTAAGATTTTTTTTACCATTTCAGGGTTATCTTTAGTATAAACATTTCGATAATAGATTACCTAACTATTTATTAGAATTTTGATTTAGATATATCAACATATTGAATAAAATTAAATAATTATAATTATACAGTATTGAAAGTACTTACTTACTTAAAAGTATTGAAATCATTAGGATTATTATAACGTTTGAAAGTTTTATGTGCAATTTTTTTTTTGATAGTTAAACATATTAAATACTTGCTATACCAGGAGGGGAAATTAGTTTTTTTGGAGTAATTTTAGGAACGAATAATTCAATTAGAGTGTTTAGCGTTCAGTAAAAACATGAAGTGGCTATATTAATGTCCGGACTGCTTAAAATGTCGTTCCAATTACAAGAATTAAGAGCGTACGATAAGCCACAAAAGTCAGTTCGGTTAAAATCGAAATAACTTGGAATTGAATCCAAATTACTACAACACGTAGAAATATTAAAGCTAATGTACAGAGCATGGTGATATAACTTGTCTAAAAGGAAAATAGCTTTATCAGCGTCATTAAGAACACAAACAATTGGAATGTTAGAAAATATTAAATCAAGTAATGAGCCCGATAAATTATACCATCTATTAAATTGTCGACAGTTGAGATAAGCGAATTCATCGATAACGGTTGCTACCTGATTATAGATATTAACGTAGCACTTAACATAGTCCTTATGAACAACCCAGTTTAGCTTAGGTAGATTAAAATCACCGCAAATAATAATTTCATAATCAGGGTGTGATGATACAATTAAATTTAAAGCGTTAAAAAATGTAACGTAACTATCATTGTTACTTTTGGGTGGAAAATAAACATCAGCGATTATTAAGTCTTTATTATTAACCCGGACGTGAATAAATAAGTGTTCAAAATTTGGAGTAGAAAGTGCATTTAAACGTTTAGAAAAAAATTTTTTTTTTACACAAATTAAAACTCCGCGACCAAGGTTAACGCCGGAATTTGTATAGTCACGATCACATCTATAGATCTCAAACGGGGAAAAACTAAGTTCAGATGATAAGAAGTTACTATTTAAAGTTTAAACTAGTCTCAACAATTACATAAAAATCCAAAGTAAATAACGGTTCATTGATACGTAATAAATCTAACTTTGTACGCAACCCCCTAACATTTTGAAATAAGCCATCAATATGTTTACATTTAAAATTAGATGAATTATAATTATTATTTATAAAAGTATTATCTGTATGTGTAAAACCTGAGGCAGTATTTAGTTTTTTGTAGAATAGTTGGAACTCCTTTGATATAGCCGATGTAAATGTTGTTTTCACCATTATTTTTTACGTATTTAAAGTTTTTCAAGTACTTTATTGTAGAAACTACGTTGTGAAGTGGTCCAATCAACCGTTACGTCGATAAATTTCTTGTCAGGTAGATTCCGGAGAAGATTTTTTGACTCCCAACGTCAGATTTTTTTTTCACATGTGATCTTTATCGGTCGAGGTTTTGGTAAACATTTACCCAGACTATTAGTAAAGTAGCGACAGGGGCATCAATTTTAGCAAAAATGTCATTAACTAATGAGGTGTCATCGACATCATTAATCGATTCCGGTACGTTAAATAAAATTATATTTTTTCTCGTGATTGGCGATCATGTAGTTCGTTAAACATGTCAGAATAAGAAACGTTGGCATTAGTGTTTGGATATGATTCTAATTTGACGATTCTTGATTCAAGTACGCATAATTTTTCTTGAAAACGAGAATTTTCAGCTACAACCCGATCTAATTTTTCATTGGTAGAATTTAATAGGTCGAACAATTTTTCAATTTTAGAGAGTAAATCAAAATTAGAAGGAGAGCAAATACTGCATTTCCAAGTAGATACGTTTTTAGGAGAGGATCCAGTAGTAGTAATGCAATTACTATGTGCTGTAGTTTTCTTGCAGCCACAACAAGTTAAATAGGTAGTAACACGGTTAATAGCCGATGAGCAAATAAAGCAAGTGAGAGGCATTATGAAAAACCGAACTATAATTAACTAGATAAAAACGTATCGATAACGGACGTATTCACAACGGGAAAAGACCGAACGTCTTACCTGTACGACGGATAGAACTGTACTGTAAGCCAATTCAAGTCAAGATATTGCTAATCTTTTTGGTAACTATTTTAGCTCTGTTTTTAGCCCTAATAATAGCCCACTTACACCAATAACTAGTTTTTCTAATTTTAATACTGTTAATCTTAATAATATTGAATTTACGTTAGGTGATATTTTTGAAGGTTTAAGTTTTCTTAAACCTAAGTGTTCATATGGTCCTGACGGGATACCTCCTATAATATTACGTAATTGCCGTTATTCATTAGCAATACCCATCTATACATTATTTAAATTATCTTTATCTTCTAGCTCTTTTCCTACATTATGGAAATCTAGCTACACTCAACCTATTTTTAAATCGGGTGCCAGATCAAATGTCGAAAACTATAGACCTATTTCCATTTTATCTGCAATCCCTAAGTTTTTTGATAAAATACTTGCTTCAAAAATTAACTACTATTTCAAAAATGTTTTTATTAATGAGCAACACGAGTTTAGACCTGGTCGATCTACTGTAACACACCTTTTATCCTTTCATTCTTTCATTATTTTCTGTTAGAGGCAATTGCATCAGGTTTACAAGTTGATGTTATATACACAGACCTCAAAAAAGCATTCGATAGCGTTAATCATACTTCCCTCGTAAATAAGTTAAAACTGTATGGTGTATCGGATCCATTATTAACATGGTTCAAATCATATCTCTCCTCCCGTACCCAAATTGTAAAAATTCATAACCATTCTTCTTTTCCCATTTCCGTTACCTCGGGTGTCCCTAAAGGTGGCCACCTTTCTCCGTGGCTATTTAACATTTGTATTAATGATGTGTCCCAATGCTTTTCTAACTGTAAATTCTTGCTCTTTGCTGATGACTTGAAGATTTTTAATGTTATAAATAACACATCTAACTGCTTAGATTTACAAAGTTGCTTACTTAAATTTTATAAATGGTGCACTGATAATGGTTTATTAATAAACATTAACAAATTTAATTACATATCGTTTTTTCGTACTCTCTCGTATATCAACTTCCAATGTTCTATTAATTCCAATCAACTTGTCCCAGTTACCACTATAAAAATCTAGGTGTTATTTTCTCTTCCGACCTTTCGTTTAATGACCACTTTAATTACATTTGTAATAAGTCCAATAAAATACTTGGGTTTTTAAACCGTAACACCATTGGTTTCTCTAATATTAATGCGTTGAATACTCTATATATGTCACTAGTCCGTTCAATACTTGAATACGCTGCTATTATTTGGTCAGCCCATTAACAATTACATATTAATCGAATAAATAAAGTACAAAATAAATTTATAAAAATGAGCACATTTCGTTGCGGGATTAACCCGTATACTTTTATATCTCTAACTGATAGACGTGTTGAATTTGATGTTACCTTTATTTACAAATTATTGAACAATTATATTGATGCTCCTGATTTACTTGCTAAATTATCTTTAGCCGTTCCTTCTTTTTATTCCAGAAACCCCCAAACTTTTAAAACGAATTTTCACACCACTAACTATGGTTACGCAGCCCCTCTTGATCGTGCTTGTCGATCTATTAATAATATGTCAAATATTGATATTTTTAACGATTCTTTGCCATCATTAATTCTAAAACTAAAAAATTGTACTTGTTAATATTTTCTTTAGCCTATTCTTTATTCGTGCACCAATGTACTTTTTTCTTACCTTCTAATATTATGTAATTTGTATTATTATAATTTGTACTAAACTAATGCCCCTGAGGCGTCGATAAATAAATAAATAATAAACAATAATAATCTAAATAATTTTCAGTAAAAAAGGGGGGGGGGTATCATCACAAAAATATAAGTTTGTACTGCGACAGAACACTCTTACAATAGAAAAAAAATGTCAGAAATTTTGAAAATATGGTCTTTAGGTAAACTTAAAGTTAGAATTTGAAAAAAAAATATTTTAAACGGAAAACGGTGGTGAGAATATTTCAATAAAATTTTAAGTAAATTCTCTCATGGCCTTTGTATTTCATTATGATTTATGAGTCCCCTTAAAAACTGATCCATTGGCCTTTGGTGTGACAGGTCTACAATGCTTGGTGTTACGATAATATTAAGTAAGTATACACAATTTGGCTATGTTGGAAGCCATAGGGATGAGATTTGTATATCCGTGACCGTACCGTACGGTTCTTGAGAGGTACCACTACCTTATCATTCGTGAAGCAATACCTCATGAAACACACTGCCTTCAATATAACACCAATGTGTCTTGTGAAAATGTTAGACATATCAAGGATGAATAAACCTACAAACAAAATAATGAAAACTATTCCGATGTTCTTAGATTTATATCGGAAAAACAATGTTGAGAGCAAGAAAAACATAACCAATATAGGAGGTGGGAGTGAATCGGGCACACATTAACTTACTCTGGCACAGGCCCACTCAACCACTACACAAAATATAATTATTTTTACTTAGTATCAAGATAGTATTTATGAATTCATTAATTTTATTAGAAATAATAAAATTAATTTAGCTTAGTTAAAAAGATTAATTAAATAGGAACATAATTTTAGAAACCTTATTTTGATTCATTGTTATTATATTGTGTTTTCTATAGTTTGTACATTTACATTAGGGTGGTCCTTAGTTATAGAAGTAATTTTTTTTTTTTTGGAAATTTGATGACGAGTACCCCAAATTTTGTTCTATGTATTGCAAAAATAATTATGATAAAGTTTGGGCATGATAAGTTTACCCATTCCCGTGCCTCAAAGTGGTTGAAGTTTTACTAATTGGGGATGAATTTCCATTTTTTACGTATACTCTCTTAAATATTGATATTACGCAAAAAACTTAAAGTACTATTATTGTAGCTAATATATTTAGTATTTACTAAATAAAAGTTTCTTATAAATATGTTGTTAAGTTGATGGAATCCTGTAAATTTAAAAAAAACTGGTCATAATTAATATTTTAGAAAATTGTATAAGTTTTTAGTTTTTGACCTCTAATCTCTTAAATATTAAAGTTACGCACAAAACATGAAGTACTATAATTGTTGCTATATATAATATTTATTTACTAAATAAAAGTTTCTTATAAATATGTTGTGAGGTTGAAAGTTTCCTGTTAATTAAAAAAAAAAATAATATATAATATAATGATTATTTATGTGCATCTTTTGTTAAAGTATCTTTGGTATGGCTTGGATATTTTTACCGGTACTCTTGTACTACCTAAATTAAAATCGTAAGTCATACTAGTTATCTTAGTTATTTATTAATATATAACTTACCTTCAATACATACTGCTTTTGATTTTCATTTTTTGTAAATTTTGTATAAAAATCTTCCATCAATTTGACACCACGTTCGGCTGCATCATTTATAACGCTCAAATGGTGTAAAATAACTATCGATATTCGGCCAATTTTCTGGATTTTGATGTAAGAACTCCAGCATGGACTAAGCATTAGTTGGAACCTTTGGAATAGATTTTTCGATTTAGGCGTTAATAATTCAAGTGGTAAGTCTTGTTTTAAAAATTGTGAGACATCACCAATTTTTAATACATATTTTTTTTGTATTTCTGTGGTCAATTCGTCTTCTTGAAGCTCGTCATTTTCTAATAATTGTTGAGCCATTTGTTTTTTCACGTGATTTTCAATCCTGTCATCAAATAACGAAAAACAAGCGGTTTCTTCTCCCAGATACCATAAATGATTTATAAATTTTTTTAAAGCAAGCTCAGCCACTTGCTTATCATCGGACTTATAGTCTTCAAGTTTTCTTAAAAAAAGTACATCATTATAAGGTGCTTCAATAGCATTAGGAGACCTAAACCAAAACTCTATATAGCATTTCACAATAAAACAGCATATAGTTTTTAATGAAGTTATTTCTGCTTTTGTTAGTTTAAATTGTTCTTGAAATATGTATATTTTCAAACAATATATTCCCTTATACATCCATATAGCTAGATGATAAGCTCCTGGACGTTTAAAATGAATACCTTTAGGTGGTACCCCACCCAAAAAAATTATCACCAATTCCAAAAATTCTTTGTAATCATCCCTTGGTAGATTTTGGTTTAAAGTATCTTTACAAAACATTATAACATCATCGGCTACTTTATGCAATATTTTTTTGACCTCATTATCACTTACCCAAGTGCTATATTTCGTTTGATCTATTTGATTCCAGTTATTTTTAAAACGTTTAAAAATAGGAATTTCGGGACCAGACATTGTTGTAAATTTTGAGTATGAGAAAACCGATTGCATAATAATTTCAAATATGTGATGCCGAGAAGCCAAAAACAGTATTGCTCGGTTTAACATTTGTTCTAATAGCACAAATGATCCATTTAATCTACCGCTGTTGGATGCTGTTGTATCAAAAACAAACGATTGCACTTTTTCCAACATACTCCAATCTTTTAATGTGTCATACAATGCAGAAGAAATTTCCTTTCCAGTACCAGATGACAAATGTGGTACCCCAAGAAGTTGTTCTACGTTTGGTGCAGTTATAATAACTGGTAATCTGTCTACATTTTCGGTTCCAATCAAATAAGAAGTATTTTTGAGTCCCAGTGGATAACTGCAAAATGAAGATTTAATTGATGAAATGCTGTTTTAATTTCGGAAGATATTTGGTAACGAAAACTTTCACGACTTCTTTTAACTGAAGAGCGATTTATTGCATAGTCATTTACATTTACATTAAATACCTCGGCACATGCTATTAATAAGTGAACTGCATCCCTGTCACTAACCTTACATTTGTCTAAAGCTGATGCTAAACGACTAGTCATAATTTCTTTCCTACCTCGTTTATTTTTAATTGGCATTATAATACTTTCACACATTTCGGAATTTTTAGATTTAAGCACATCACGTTCATCATCGCTTGAT